TGTAGTAAAATGCACCAAGATAATTAAATATATAAATATCTGGATAAATAGATGAATAAATAAATGTTATCTTTCAACCTCAGCACATAAGCCTTCCAATACCCTGAAGCTAACTGGGACGACAGCACAATTGCCAGCAGCCAGAGAGATTAATCAGATGCGCACCCAGCAAGCCAGCTATGACAGAGAATTTGCCAAAGCTCTTAAGGTGTTCTACCAAAGCATGAATGTGGCAAGAGGGCAGTTTCTCAAATTGAGACATCATAAACCTCCTGTAAGTAACCAGAATCCTGGGAGCAAAAGGAATTTCTTTCCATTAAATGCAGCTGTTTGATATAACTACATTTCCTGAGCGTGGGGACGTGGGTGTGCTTAAGCCAAAGAGCAGGCTGAGGCCTAGAACACTGTGAGTCTGCTGCTTTCGGGGCTCCACCCATCTTTGCTCCCATTTTTCACTTTAGTGTACATCTGGCTGGTTCAAGGCAGCCGTGGCCACTGCAGCACTGATATTCCTGTACTTAAGGATGTACAGAGTATCTCAGAAATGCAAGTTCGCTTTATCATTATAAAACCAAATAAATATAATTCATCACATTAAGATATTATAGGAGAAAAATCATGATTATTTCAATATATACAAAAAAAGCATGTGATAAAATTCAGCATCCTACCACGATAAAAACTTTTAGCAAACTAGGAATAAAATGGACATTACTTAATCTGATAAAGGCAATCTTAAATGAACACACAGTAAGCATAATCTTAATGGTAAATCACCGATGCCAGCTATCTTCACTTCTGTTTGACATTGTGCTTTAGGTTCTAGCCAGTGCAGCAAGTCCAGAAATAAAAGGTATAAGGATTGGAAAGGAAAAAAAGGTAATAATAATAATAGTATACATTTATGTAATACTTACTGAGTGCTTTTACATTTACTGACTCAATTCTCGCAACAACCTGATGGGTAGGTACTATCATTAGCTTTATTATACAGTTGATGGATCTAAGGCACAAGAGAGGTTAAGTAACTTACGTAAGGACACACAACTAGTAAGTGTCAGGGCCAAGCTCCAAACCCAGGGCTGCTCCATGGTCTATACTCTTTCCCACTACACCATGATGCCTCTAGTATTATTTGCAGATGACATGTTTATGTAAATAGAAAACCGAAAAGAATTTATAAATAAATTACAAGGTTGCTGGATACAAAAATCAATATTTAATTAATTACGTTTGAATATAACAGCAATAGAACAACGTTTTTAAAATAAAAGATAGTTTTTTTTTTTTTTTTTGGCGGTACTTGGGCCTCTCACTGTTGTGGCCTCTCCCATTGCAGAGCACAGGCTCCGGACGTGCAGGCTCAGTGGCCATGGCTCACGGGCCCAGCCGCTCCACGGCATGTGGGATCTTCCCGGACCGGGGCACGAACCCGTGTCCCCTGCATTGGCAGGCAGACTCTCAACCACTGCGCCACCAGGGAAGCCCCGAAAAGATAGCATTTATAATCGCATCAAATGTAAGAAGTACTTAGGCCTATAGCTAACATAAAGTATGGACTTCTATGGAGAAAATTTTAAAGCTTGTTTGAGAGATGTTAAAGATGATCTAAGTAAATGGAGAAACATGCCATGGCTCCATGGTTTGGAAGGTTTGCTACTGTAAATCTGTCAAGTCTCCTGAGATTCAATATAATCCCAATAAAATGTAATGGAATCTGACAAGATGATCCTATAATTTAGATGGAATCACAAAAGCAAAGTTTAGCCGAGACAATCCAAGGCTCAAAAACAAGGTAGAGAACTTGCCTTACTCTACATCAAGGCTTATTTTAATGCTAGTGTAATAGACGGTAAGGTATTGCCCAAATGTAGGTAAGATAACCAAAGGAAAAGAAGGCCAAGAAATAGATTCACTCAGAATTAGAGACTTGATATATGACCGAGGTGGAACCAAAGATGAGTGTGGCAAGGATGGATTTTTCAATAAACAGTGCTCAGAGCATTCAGAATACATATGAAGATAAATGAAATGGGAGCCTTATCTAGAACTATACCTAGAAGTCAATTTTAGGTGAGAATTAAAGACCTATACGTGAAAGGTAAACCCCTAACGCTTACAGAAGGTACTTTAGGAGACGTCTTCATGACCTCACAGTGGAAGAGGATTTAAACATGACAAGAAAAATACCTAGATTTAAAGAAAAAGATTGATAGACTCACCTATATTAAAATTGTGAAGTTTGGTCCAGAAACCAAAACAAAGTCGAAAGGGATAGGAAAAGTCATTTGCAACACATTTAATATATAATGAGCTAATATCCAAAATAAAGAACTACTACAAGCCGAAAAGAAAAACAGATAGATTTTGACCCAGTAGGAAAAAATGGTCAGAAGACCCAAACAGGAACTTCACAAAAGAGGAAATCAAAAAGGCCAATAGGGCTTCCCTGGTGGAGCAGTGGTTGAGAGTCCGCCTGCCGATGCAGGGGACACGGGTTCGTGCCCCGGTCCGGGAAGATCCCACATGCCACGAAGCGGCTGGGCCCGTGAGCCATGGCCGCTGAGCCTGCGCATCCGGAGCCTGTGCTCCGCAATGGGAGAGGCCACAACAGTGAGAGGCCTGCGTTCCGCAAAAAAAAAAAAAAAAAAAAAAGGCCAATAAATATATGAGAAAGTGCTTAACTTCTTTAATAATTTGGGAAACACTAATTGAAACCAGTGATATGCTAGTATAAAGTAACCATACTGGCAAAAATTTCCGTCTGAAAATATCAAGTTTTGGTAAAGCTATGAAGCAACAGAAACTTTCATGCCACGTTGGAAGGAGTATGAATCGGTACAACAACTTAAAAAACTGTTTGCCATTTATCTAATAAAAGTCAAAGATGCATCTACCCTGTAAGCCTGCAACTCAACTCCTCTTCTCCACAGAGTAAACTGGTTCTGCACTTCTCTGCACCTTAATGCCCTGAGGCAGAGGTTCTCACAGTGTGGTCTTCTCACCAGCAGCTTCAGCATCATCTGGGATCTTGTTAGAAATGCGAATTCCAGGGTCCCCTCCCAGACCTGCTGAACCAGACTCTCTGGGTGTGAGGCCTAGTAATCTGTGCTTTAACAAGTCCTCCAGATGATTCTGCCTTAAACTCAAGTTTGAGAACCACCTTTCTAGACATCCTATGTATATAATGAATTAATTTCTCTCCTACCTATCTAGAATGGTACTAGTTATACACCATTCTTGAGAGAACTGGGAAAATAGTCACTCAAGTCATTTTCTGTTCTGTAGTTCAGATGATGGACCAGCTGAAAAATTCTGTAGGAACCCAAGCACTCGTGCACTTGGCTGTATTTTAACACCATCTTCCATAACAGCCCCCAAATGGAAACACCTTAATGTACACCCACAGAAGATTAGTAACTTATGGCACAAATGGCCAAAAGACAGGCAAAATATACTGTTTAGGGCTGCATTCTAGGTGGCGAGAAAATGATTATCACACAATTTAGGTTAGTAGTTGCTTCTGGGGGGTAGAGAAATGGGTGTGACCAGGAGGCGCTCAAGACGCAGTGTGCTTTCTTGAGCGGGTATGTTCACTTTAACTGTACCTACGCATACATTTTGGGTACTCTTTTGTCTGTACACCTCACAATAAAAAAGAAGGAAAAACCAGTGTGATAAACACGCTAAATATAAAGTTATAAGCCACAACCGGGGAGAATCTATGTGTATTATTTGTCATCAAAGATTAGTATCCAGAATATATAAACTACATACTTTTTTAAAAAATATATATTTATTTATTTATTTTTGGCTGCGTTGGGTCTTCATTGCTGCACACGGGCTTTCTCTAGTTGCCAAAAGTGGGGGCTACTCTGTTGAGGTGCGCGGGCTTCTCATTGCAGTGGCTTCTCTTGCTGCGGAGCACCGGCTCTAGAGCACAGGCTCAGTAGTTGTGGCGCATGGGCTTAGTTGCTCCGCGGCATGTGGTATCTTCCTGCACCAGGGCTCAAACCCGTATCCCCTGCATCGGCAGGTGGATTCTTAACCACTGCGCCATCAGGGAAGTCCCTACATACTTTTAAAATAAGAGAAAGACAACTCCTTCTCTTTGTAGGAAAACACACTGGAAAAAATGGCCAAAGTATCTGAGCGGGCATTTCACTAATAATCAGGGAAACAGAAACTAAAACGAGATGCCACGACACACTATCGGCCCCCTGCCTGCTCGCGTCTCTGTGACCACCGTCACCTCCTCCACCGTTGCTCACTGGCGCTCTGGCCACAGTGGGCCCTGCAATCCCTGCTCAGGGATACCTGCTCCTATGGGGCAGAGGACACATCAACCAACTCTCAGTGGGAGAATCCCCACCCAACACAGTCCTGTGCAAACCTCAGAACTTCTACAGTATTAAAAGAATATATACCATACCAATCTCAAATATTTGGATTATCTCACCAATTTTCCCTGTTGGCAGTAAGTAAAGGGTCATTTAGGCAGCCTTCCTGAAACAGGACGTGCTCCTAGGTGACTTGTCGCCTCTGGTAGCAGCTTTCAAATGCAGCTTTCTGGCCCAAAGGGAGAACTCGCTGGGCACCCCACTCATGTACACACACAGTACTTTTACTGTAATGAAGTGAGTCCACTAATATTGAAACCGAGCAGGATGCTGCGGGGCCCTCCTGAGTACAAAATCCCCTCTGTGTCCCCCGTTTGTTGTTTATAGAAAGTCTTTAGTCTCCTAGACCTTCCCTGAGTTCCAAAGAGCAGATTCAAGCTGTTACTAACTAGGCGAGTGAGGGAACGCAGAAACAATGGAAAAGCAAGCCCAACATAACCTTTTCCATGATTGTTAGCTTAAAGTAATGCCTTGACTTATGACCCCAAACTGTGGAGATAATGTCCTGTGGCTTCAACTGGCTGGCCCCAAGTGGACTTAAAATTGGTGACACTGGGAAGGTCAATTAAGAACTGAAACTCCTGAACCATCACGAAGTAAATAACAAAATGCCTCAACCATTGCTTTTGCTTTCTCCTAAAAAGAAGTTAAGGGATCACAAGACCATGATTTACTAGTTTGCTTTGCAGGAACACACAGATCAATCACATTCACCAATGACAGACACAACGAGTCCCAAGACAGTGCTGGGAAGTCTGCAATTGAAGTCTTACAGGAAAGCTGAAATCATAAAGACCCCCTCCCCTTTACTTTTTTTTTTTTTTAAAAAACCCTGCGCCCCTGGCCAGCCAGCAAGATGGATTTGAGACGAGTCTAGGTCTCCCATCTTTAGGGTTGGTGCCTCCTTGACTAATACAAGTTTCTCTGCTCCAAACTCCACCATTTCAGTTTGGCCTCACTGTGCGTCGGGCACACGAACTTGGGTTTGACAACAATATTGTTCTTTTCTTTATTTTTAGGAAGACGATCAAATGCTTCGACCATTTGTACACCAGCAGTCACAAATGTTAAAGGACTTTGGGGACCTACTTGAATCCAGCTTGTGGAAACTGAAAAATGATGTTGCTCTTATGGTGAAAAAGAAGAGAGAATGTTTATTGCATATGGAATACTGAGGCTACACCAACTGAAAACATTTGAGCTTTGAGTTGGAACGATTATTTGTGTAGCTAATAAGCTTAATTAACTTGGCTTTCAGAGCTGAATTGTGGACTCAACCTAGTCAACTCATTTCCCACTCACTCAACCTGTTATACCACTTTTAAGCAAAACTCTTCTTCAATTTGATTTAAAATCATGTAAAAATGAATCCATAACCAGGGTGAAGGTGAGGTGGGAAATATGAAAGGTGAATGGTCAGCACTCTGAGCTCTGGGATTGACTGCCTGGGGCTGAATCCATCACTAATCAATTGTGTGGTTTGGGGCAAAGGACTTCCCCTCTCTAAGTCTCTTTCCTTATCTGTTACAGGGGAACGGTAACAGTACTTACTGCAGATGGTTAACAAATACAAAAGAATATAAAGAACTTAGAATGTGCTTGGCACACAGAGGAATTGATAAGCAACTGCCGTTAATATTTTCATGATTAACAGCTCCAAACTTCAAATAAAAGCTCTTTTGTAAGTTTCTTGCTGTCTCACCTAGAGAATGGTTATTTCATGCCCCTCATTTTGTATCCTTGTTCTGAACAAATTTGATATTCTACCTCCACTTATTTTCTGTCTTCATAGGTTTATTTGAAATAGGTTCAATTCATTAAGCATCGTTAAGTGCCTGTACTGTGGGACCTGTTCAGTGCAAGGGCCTGGGGTGGCAGAGGTTAAGATTTACTATGACATCTGCCGGGAATTAGTCAATCTCGAAGAGATCTTGATTCCACAAAGAACTGATTGATGAGTCTTAGTTAGGTCCAACGGGCACTGAGTGCTCTGGGGAAAGGCTTGTAAAGAAAACTTTTGCGGCCTTAGACAGACTAACAATAGCAGCAATAACAGAGACTTATCCAGGGCTTACTGTGTGTCAGGCACTAATCTAAGTGCTATACAGCTGTGAGCTCATTTAATTTTCACCATAATTCTATGAATTTGGCCCTGTTACTTTCCCCATTTTGAGGCTTTAAAGGTTAAACAAACGAGGCTTGTCCAGGCCACTGTAAGCAGTGGGCTGACTCTGGGACTGCATTCCTAACCAAAGGCCTGGGACCTTAATATGCAGGACTGTCCCAAGGAGCAGTTTGACTGATTTGCATAAGAACAGGAAGGAGGCAACAGAGGTGACAACTCCAATACTTGCTCCCTAAAATATAAAGTTAGGGGCACTGAAACTCTACTGGCAGGAGAGGCTATCAAGGGCTCCAAGAGGAGTCTCCCTGGGAAGGCAGAGGCATCTGGGCTGGTGACTTCAGCTTACTACCAGGACCCAAGGGCTTATGGGAGGGGCTTGGGTTTTGCCTGTAGCTCAGGTCCTGGCTGAGTGTATGCACATGAACTAAAATATAACCTGTAACCCTGGAGCCCAAGTGTGGAGCTCCATGTTGGTGATGGCAGGGACAAGGGTCAGCAAAGCATCATAGAAAAGGAAAAGGAAAGGAAAAGGAAAGGAAAGCCTTTGTCCTTGAGGCAGGATAGCAGTGAGGCCATGGGAAGCAGGAACGACTTCTACCTCTTGGACTGAGACTTAAAGCTCTTGGACAATTTGCTTGAGGCAAGTAAATATACTTTCTGCAAGTGAGCAGGTGGAGCCTTGGAAGGTTAGAAAGAATATCAGGACTAGACACTTGTACCTCAAGCTGGAGGACAGGGTCACACAGGTGGTCATATATCAGCATCAACACTAGAGCACAACACAGCACACGTTGCAAAAGTGGAAAGATGCACATGGAGTCTCAGCCAGTAGCTCCCAAGTGCAGATCTAAGCCACGGATTCCTAGGGCCCAACCGTCATACCTCCTGAATGCAAACTGCTGGGGTCCGCTGGGGAACCTATATTGTTTGTGGTTTGGATATGCAGCTAGTCATGAGATCTCTTGCTCTTGTCCATCTTCCTGATTTTAGAGATGATAAAACCTCTTCTAAGGTCCCACAAATTAATGCACAGCTGAGACCCGATTCGACCAGCCCTGGGCAGAGGAAGCAAAGTTAGGATGGACAGTACTATCACCAAGGATCTCCCTCTTCAAGTTAAATAGACCCTCTTTCTTTTGTACAGGCAGCACAGATGGACCTCCCAACATGAATAAGATTCCTATCAATGTCACGCCTCTCACTGTAGAGTAGAAATTCCATGAAGGCAATGGCTGTCCTCTTTACATAATGAACGTAACAGAACACTTAACGTGTGTTTATTATATGCTAATTACAAAAGGAAAAGTCCTTTGCCTTATTTTTGGGCTTCAGTGGAAACCTGGTTAAAATATAAAAAGTAAATTAGAGAAAAATTTTGCTTAGGCAGTGAAAATCAATAGAAACTTAGCAGCTATATCCTTAAACCTAAGGCACACAGGTACAGAACCAGGGAAAATGAATGATAAGCCCAATTATTAGCAGTACACAGACCACTAAGGAAGCACATTTCTACCACTACTCAAATACACAGGCACGTCCAAACACAGAACCACTGTTCAATTGACAATCCTTTATTATTAAACTTAGGTAAGAGTCCAAAATCAGTCAGTGTGGATGCGCGAAAAAGTAGGCTAAAATAGCAAAAACTGCAGTTTCATTTGGCAAAGGCCTACACTAGGCAGAGAAATTCATGGGGAAGTGAGATCCCATTCAATATCATGGCGAGGAAAAGAGCAGTTGCCGTCTTACATGACCACCAGCCTGGGCGTGTCAGCCACACAGAGAGAGCCACCCATCCCACCCTCTGATCTTCCAGCTCACTTAAAAAACTGACCTTGAATTCTTCAATGAAAAAGTCAAATATTAATTTTTTCTCACAAGCAATAAAATCACAAAAATCAGCTAAGATTTGAAATTTATGGTAAGCTGGTACAATTCCCTGCTTGTACTATATACATATTTTAGATATGACAATCTTTTCCACATACAGTCAGACAGGCTTATAGAAGAATTTCAAATATCAAATTAAAAAGCTGTTAATTCATGCATTTTATGACTTCGGTTAATTATTCAAACGTTTAGACTTCAGAGCTGCTAATGACACTAAATTCAATGCCACGCTGGTTGAGTCTGTCAATCAGCTTTGTTCTGGAGAAAGCTGCTCCAGGAGTGAAGACCCCACCCCTGTAAGACAATAACAAGATGAAACAGTGCACAAAGCCCAGCTCCAGCCCTTTCCTCTGCTAGTGTGATTTACTGGAGGACTAGCTATCGAATCAATGCAGAGCTTATGAAAACCTGATTCTTGATTCCATAATGGACTGGTTTTGGTTCCATTCCTAAAATCAGCCAAACGAGCAAGGAGCTATTATTCAAAAGTAAACTAGTACCCAGTAAACCCATCTAGGTTGGTTCAGTGACTCATGAGACTGTTTCCATGATACCGGCGTGTGTGTTGGAAGGGGCACACTGAGGGTTATCAACCCAAGTAACAGCTGCTGTTTATGAAGTCAGCCCTTAGACTCAGGAGGATCAAATACGCACATGGGCAAAATAAAATTAGGTAATCAATTATTACTAAAGCATAAACAAGACAATTTGGATGAAAAAGAAGTTTCTTTAAATGTAATGGGTAACATTTAGAAAATGCTAAATATTTTCAAAGAGTATACAAATATTTGAAGAAAATTTAATTAGGTTTCACTTTATATAATTTTTATGTTTATTACTTACTACTGTTTCAGGTCAGACCTAAATTTATTTGTTTCTAAGCCTGCAGACCTATGCTCATTTGTAAAGTTGGCCTACTTTTAGGGTAACAGCTATATGCTCCAGAAAGATAGTTCACTTGATACTTATCTAGCCAGGATGCCATGAATCAACTCATGCTTGGGGTCACGGCTCCCACTGCCAGCTGGGTATCATTCAGCATGGATTAGGGGCTCCTGCCAATAACATTTAACTACAGGGACCTTTTTTTGAGTAGCTGACTTTGGATCTGAGTTATTTTCAGGAGGAACTGAAGCATGGCTCTCAAACTTTTCTGTCTCCTCTCATTTACTTCTGCACTGTTCCTAGAGGCCAATAAGGAACCGTCCTTCTCACAATATTAAGTTTACCTCTATCTTTGGATCAAAGGTACTGTAAATGCTTATGTACAAACCCAATGCCTGAAAACTGAACCAAGATAAGCTAAAATATAACATAAATGAAAAAGATATCTTCAAATTTGAAGAAAACCAGACTTACGCCTTAGGAAGATCAGAGGTGTCAGTTAGTAGAGTTATGGCTGCCTGGACCATGGCTATGGGGGTAGCCACATAGCCAGCTTCTGCAGATAACAGGTGATGAAAGAAAAAGGAAGTATTCATAAAATATGCATTCAACAACACCCAAAAATCAAATGGCAGATTTTATATCTAAGTATCAGTGTACAGAATTTCCTCAATAAATACTCTGTTCATGTAATGACAAAAATAACAACATTTATATAGTACCTATTAAGTGTCAGGAACTGTATTAAGTGCTTTAAATCCATTAAACTCATTTAATTCTCCTAACAATCTAGGCTAGTACTATTTTATACTGATTTTACAGATGAGGAAACTGAGGCATAGAGAGGTTAAGAGACTCATTCAAATTCACAAAGTTAGGTAGTGGTTGGGCCAGAATCACATGCAGGCAGCCAGCTCAAGTCCACACTCTTACCAATAATCCTAGGTTTCTTGTTTCTCTATTCATACACTACACTGATCTTTCTCAATCAAATACATCAAACTTCACTTTTAAAAAAAGACTCCATTTCTTAAAGAACAACTGAGTAACTCTCAAAGAAGTCTAACTTTAAGAAGTAACTTTAAAAGAAGTCTATAAACAAGGAGAACATTAGTGTTTATATTCATGTTAAATAAGAACATAGCTTTTCTTAAAAACCCAGGTGGAAATTTGAAAAAAAGGCAAGATGCAAAGATATCTTTGCTATTGGGCTTGATTAAAACTGCACAACAGACCCCCTGTGATCTATTAGGAATGATGGTAATTAAACTTATACTGTAATTCACAAGTGGGATTGTCTCTGTACAGTTCTCTAAAATTTACAGCATAAGTTATTGAATGTTTTGGAGTGATAGTCCTTTTTAACTATCTATCAAAACTTTTACCTTGCCCAGAAAAATGCACATGTACACACACTTTACAAACAATGTCAGGGTGATCCAGACTCCAAAAAAGCTTGGATCACAGCTTTGATTATGTTATAACTACACTGCTTTAAAGTGACCCTTGACTATAAAAATAGAACAGATAAATATCAATCAGCCCCTTGTCTTCTTAATATTAAAAATTCCATTCAGAATTACTGAATCATACTGAAAGAAAAAAAAACAGTGAGAGCGACACAACAATAAAACTGAATGATACCAATAATTCCAATCCTTCTTTTGACAGAATTATTTATCATTATTACTTAAATAATTTGTGCAAAATTTATTTCTAAAACAAACTTTAAAAAGAAACTGCTGTAATAGCACACCACTTTATAGCTTAAGACAATGTAAAACTCCCAAGCATTCTTAAGTCACATGTGAAATACCTGGTCCTTTCACCTGAGTACAAATTCTGATATTTGGTTTGTTCTTATCAGGACCAAAGCCTTGGCTGTACCCTTGACCAAAAAATGTCAACGTAAATGATGAGGCATCAATCTGAGGAAAAGAAAGCAAAGGGTTTATTAAATAAATATGTCGTTTCCTCCTTGAACACAATAAAACCTACTAATATACTTCCTATAAGACATTTTCAATAAATAAAAAAATCAATATTCTATCTGTCAGAATATCCCGTCATCCTTTACTTAAGCATGGAGCAAAAAATAATTCTTTGAAAAACAACAAGTTTTGCTGACTGGAGTAATGTTGAGAGGAGGGAGTTAGTGAGGAATAAAGCTGATATAAAGATGAGTCTTAGGTTGTGGCTGAAAGAAGAACAGCACCACCAGAATAGGCAGTTTCAGAGGAAAAGCTGGAGGTAGTTTTCATTTTAGGATAGAATATGGTACTCGGGCTTTAGATATCTGTTTGAGGTGACAAGACAAAAAAATAGTCAACAAGTAACGGCAGTATGGGCCTAGGGTATAGATATAAAATTGCTCCACTTAGAAGTGTAAAAATTTGATTCAAAAATTAAATTATAGAAGATCTATCCAAGCATCTGTCACAATCAGTAAATTTAGAAATAAAATAACAAAGCCATGGTGAACAAATTTTTATTAAGTATCAACCAAGGGTCAGACACTATGTTAGGTCCTGAGACATAAATAAAGTATTAATAAAATTAAAAGAAAAGAAAAGAAAAAGAAAAGGCATTCCTGGAGCTTACAGTTTAGTGTGTGTGGAAATATATACATATATATACACACACACACACAGATACACATAAGAGATCTAATAACAATATGAGACATGAATTAGAAGTGCAGGACTAGTTTAGCAGAGAGCATTATTAAGTTTACTGAGGAAGAGGTGAGCGTATGTGCGTGAAGTTTATTACATAGAAAAGTAAGGTGAGTACCAGAAAGGAGAAACCATTACTTAAAGGCAAAACCAGACAAGGATGCCACAAGAAAAGAAAATGACAGCCAATATCACTGATGAACATAAGTGCAAAAATCCTCAACAAAATATTAGCAAACTGAATTCAACAATATATTAAAAGGACCGTATACCATGATCAAGTGGGATTTAGTTTAGGGATGCAAGGATGGTTCAACATCCATGAATCAGTCAATGTGATATACCACATTAACAAAATAAAGGATAAAAATCATATGATCATCTCAAATGCAGAAAAAGCATTTGACAAAATTCAACATCCATTTATGATAGTCTCAGCAAACTGGGTATATAGAGGGGATATACTTCAACATAATAAAGGCCATATATGACAACTCATTGCTAACATCATACTCAATGGTGAAAAGCTGAAAGCTTTTCTTCTATGGTCAGGAACAAGACAAGAGTGCCCACTCTTGTCAACAGTATTCAACATGGTACTGGAAGTTCTATCCAGAGCAATTAGGCAAAAAAATGAAATAAAAGGTATCCAGGGCTTCCCTGGTGGTGCAGTGGTTGAGAGTCCGCCTGCCGATGCAAGGGATATGGGTTTGTGCCCCGGTACGGGAAGATCCCACATGCCGCGGAGTGGCTGGGCCCGTGAGCCATGGCCGCTGAGCCTGCGCGTCCAGAGCCTGTGCTCCGCAACGGGAGAGGCCACAGCAGTGAGAGGCCCGCGTACCGCAAAAAAAAAAAGGTATCCAAATTGGAAAGGAAGAAGTAATACCATCACTATTTGCAGATGACATGATGTTATGTATAGAAAACCCTAAAGATTCCATCAAAAGATCAGAACTAAAATGAATTCAGTAAAGTCATGGGATACAAAATCAACACCCAAAAATCTGTTTCATTTCTATACATTAATGAACTATCAGAAAGAAATATTAAGAAAGCAATCCCGTTTACAAATGCATCAAAAAGAATAAAACATCCAGGAATAAATATAACCAAGGAGGTGAAAGACCTACATGCTGAAAACTACAAGACATTAACAAAAGAAATTGAAGACCCAAATAAATGGAGACAGTCCATGATCATGGATTGAAAGAATATCATTATAATGTGCACACTACCCAAAGCAATCTACAGATTCAATGCAATCCCTATCAAAATACCAATGGCATATTTCACAGAACTAGAACAATAAATCCTAAAGTCTATATAAAACCAGAAAAGACTCCAAATAGCCAAAGAAATCTTTGCAAGAAGAATGAAGCTGGAGGTACCATGCTCCCTGATTTCAAACAATATTACAATGCTATAGTAATTAAAACAGTATGGTATTGGCATAAAAACATGCACACAGATCAACAGAATAGCACAGAGAACCCAGACATAAACCCACACATATGTGGTCAATTAATTTATGACAAAGGAGCCAAGAATATTCAATGGGAAAAGGACAGTCTCTTCAACAGATGATGTTGAAAAAACGTAACTAGACTGCTGCTTACACCATACACAAAAATTAACTCAAAATGGATTAGAGACGAATATAAGACCTGAAACCATACACCTCTTAGAAGAAAACATAGGCAGTAAGTTCCTTGACATAGGTATTAAAGATGCTTTTTCTGAACTTGACACCAGAAACAGAAACAAAAGCAAAAATAAACATGTAAGATTATGTCAAAGTAAAACGCTTCTGTGCAGCAAAGGCAACCATGAACAAAATGAAAAGGCAACCTACTAAATGGGAGAAAATATTACAAATCACATATCTGATAAGTGGCTATTACCCCCAAAATATAAAGAACTCATACAACTCACTAGCAAAAACCAAACACTTGAACTGAAAAATGTGCAGAAGATCGGAAGACATTTTTCCAAAGAAGACATACAGACAGCCAATAGGTGCATGAAAAGATGCTCTACATCATTAATCATGAGGGAAATGCACATCAAACCACAATGAGATATCACCTCACACCTGTTAGAATGGCTACCATCAAAAAACTAGAAATAGAGGAATGACCAAGATGGTGGAGTTTAGGAAGTCCCTGGACACACCAAAATTATAACTATATACAGAGCAACTATCAATGAGAACAACCTGAAGACTAGCAGAAAAGATTTTCAACAACTAAAGATATAAAGAAGAAACCACAACATGATGGTAGGAGAAGCAGAGATGCAGTGTAGGCAAGACCCAAACTCCCAGGTAGGCTACTCCCAAATGGGAGGATAATTACAATTACAAGCATTCTCCCCAGGGAGCAAGGGGTCTGAGCCTCACACTGGGCTCTCCCCAGCCCGGGGGTCCTGTACCAGGAAAACAAGCCCCCAGAACATCTGGCTTTGAAGGCTAGCAGGGCTTGCATACAGAGAGCTGGAGGGCCATAGGAAACAGGGATTACACTCTTAAAGGACTCACACAAAATCTCACATGCCCTGAAATCCAATGCAGAGGTAGTAATATGAAAGGAGCCCAGGTCAACCCACTTGCTGATCTTGGAGAGCCTTCCAGGGAGGCAGAAGGGAACTGGGACTCCCTCTGGGGACAGAGATGCTAATGGGAGCCATTTGGGGGCACCTGTTCTGCCATGAGGACACTGGTGCTGGCAAGCACCATTTTGGGGTCCTCCCTCTATCTCATTAGCACCAGGTGCTTCCCTGCCCAGTAGCAGACCAATACCAGCCCTGGGACTCCCTGGGTCCTGCAGCCAGCTATGTTGGGACCCCAGTACTGCCCACCCCAGGGGGGTGGCACCAGCCTGAGCCCCCTGGATACCTGGCGCAGCATGCCATGACTTGGCCACACCTACTATCAGGCTGGTACCAGCCCAGGACCCCCAGGGCCCTGCAGACAGCCTCTCCAGGTCCAGGCCATGCCCACCAGAAGGGCAGTAGCCTCGGCATGAGGCAGGGCCTGGCAGCCATCTGGGGGCCAGCTCTGCCTACTAGTGTGCCCACAGTAGTCAGAAAGGCCCATACAGCCCACATAGGGGGCACTGCTAGAGCATATAGCTCCAGTGACCAGTGGGGAGTATGCTGCTAGGCCCCACTGAAAGTCTCCCACAGGAGGCCATTCTCCAGGATTGCAAAATGTAACTGACTTACCTAATATTATACACAGAAATAAAAAACAGAGACATAGGCAAAAGGAGGCAACAGAGGAATGTGTTCCAAAAAACAACAAAATAAAACACCAGAAGAACTAAGATAAGTGGAGATAAGCAATCTACTTGATAAAGAGTTCAAGATAATGATCATAAAGGTACTCAAAGATGCTTGGGAGAAGAACGGATGAACACAGTGAGAAGTATAAAAAAGAGTTTGAAAATATAAAGAAGAGCCAAACATAGCTGAAGAATATAATAACTGAAATAAAAAATACATGAGAAGAAATCAACAGTAGATTAAAGATACAGATCAGTAAACTGAGAGTAGTGGAAATCATCCAAGCTGAACAGAAAAGACAATGTTTAAAAATGAGAACAGTTAAAGATACCTCTAGGTACTAATGTACTAATTTACTAATATTTGCATTACAGGGGTACCAGAAGGAGAAGAGAGAGAAAGGGGGAGAACTTATCTGAAGAAAAAATAGCTGAAAACCTCTCTAACTTAGGAAACAGACATCCAAGGCCAGAAAACACAGAGGGTTCCAAACAATATGAACCCAAAGATATCTACACCAAGACATACTGTGATTAAGATGGTAAAAATTAAAGATGAAGAGAGACTCTTACAAGCAGAAAGAGAAAAGCAAGCAGTTACGTACAAGGTAACTCCCGTAAGGCTATCAGCTGACTTTTCAGCATAAACTTTGCCAGGAAGAAAGGAGTGGCATGACATATTTTAAAGTAATGAAAGGAAAAAACCTACAACCAAGAATACTCTACCCAGCAAGGCTATCATTCAGATTTAAAGAGAAGTTTTACAGACAAGCAAAAAGCTAAAAGAGTTCAGCACCACTAAACAGGCTTTACAAGAAACATTAAAGGGACCTTTCTAAGTGGAAAAGAAAAGACTACAACTAGAAATATAAAAATATGAAAGGAAAAATCTCATCGGTAAAGGCAAATATATAGTAAAGGTAGTAGACCAACTACTTGTAAAGCTAGCAGAAAAGTTAAAGGACAAAAGTA